ATAGTCGATAAACGATCGCTTTACTTACAAAGTCGCTGTCGAACGACTCGCGGAACCGACGAAACCGAAAGACATTATCGGACGAACGCGATTAATAAAGAAGGGACCTTACGAGCAAACCTGAACGTCGAATGAATCTCGCGCCAGTTACCAGCGATTGTTTGCGCTATCTCGGTCACGAGTTACGCGGCTATGATTATCGATTCGAAAGTAATCGCGCGACAATCTAGCGATCGATGGGTCGGAGTCGGCGTCCCTCCGCAGTTCGCCGATTCGCGTTCGTTGATTCCTTGCGGAAGGACGGAATCTGCTGTCTGTCGAGTATCGAGCAATTTTTCGTAATTAGTATTCGTGGCGAACGACGGAGTGCGTCGGTTTTATCCATCGGTTTAGAACCATCGTCCCGTGAAAGGTCGCTTCGCGTGCCACTGCTCTTTTCCTATCGGGGCGGAGACCGCACAGCCGTCAATACGGTTTGACGGGTGTCAACCGATTTTTCCCGAATATCAGGCTCGCTCGGTCCACCGTGAATTTCTGTAGTCGATCGCGTGATTCGCGGCTCTAGCCAAACGCGGCTAGACGTCGTCGCTACCGAACTCCGAAGTCTCGCGCGACTGCCTAAAATCAATATCGAGATGTTTTATATCTCCTACGAGCGGCCAAGTTGCCGGGTTTAGCCAGCAGCCGGCAGCTTGCCGTGTTTCGCGAATTCCCGGCGCTCGTTACCAGAAAATTTGAAAACCCGAGCGAAATGTACGCCGTCTCTGGGCTATTTGGCTCGATTTTCTGCGCAACCATCGATAAGGGATGAACGTTTCGGGATACAGTCCGTCGGCTGAAAGAGTCAGTTCGCGGAACGCTGGAGGAAAAAAGACGAACGTCGGCAAGATCTCGAGAACGAGCGACGTTCCGGCCAAATTCTGTCTCCCAAAGCTCGATATTCCGAATAGCTGTGGTGTCTATGTCCGAGACGACGAGGTTTGCGTGTTCTCGTTTCGAATTAAGGAAACGGAATTATCTTCGATTGCGATATACGGTGCGACATCCGGCTTGTATGAATCGCGATACGAAGCTTGCTTGGTGGGACTGTGGTTTTCGATCGATTAACAGTTTCGGTGGAAAGGCTGGCTAGCAGCGTACGTTCCGCGTATCGTTCTCTTCCATCGCTACTGTCTTTTCTTTCTTTCACGACGCTTTAAGATACCTCGGTAGACCAAAAGACGATACAGAGATATCAGGATCGTTGCTTGACAGAGGTAGAAACGTACTGATAGCTACGATTCTACTCCGATTCTACTTACCTTGAAAAATATCTGTAACGAAATCTCCCGCTTATTCGACCGATCAACCGCACCTGGCGAAACGATTATGTCAGTTGTATTTGACCTAGTTTAATTTAATTTATTATCAAACGGCTGGTGAGTAGCCTTTGCTGGGACAAACATGATCGCGTGGAAAATCGTACAAAGAAAAGGAGTAAAAAGACCAAGGGGAAACAAAGAGGAAATACCAAGCATGCAAGTAACGATTAGCAGTTTTTATAATTGGTAATTAGTAAAAACTCGAACGAGCCTTCTTCTTCCATACTCTACTCCTATTCTCCTCGTATCTGTCGAGTCAACCACGGCCTGGGCTGCGGAGTTAATAAAAAAGAGTACAGCCGTGGAAAGTGAAAAAGAGGAGAAACGAGAAGCCGAACGAGTCTGCCGAAGGCTCTTCCGACGATGCCTGGCGTTTCTTCGATGCTTTCTTCGTCGGTTCAGATCGATTGACCGTTTCGCGGGCAAACGGCGATTTCCAAGGTTCCACGGAGGATCATCGTCGATAAGGGTCGAAGCGATCCGACTCTCTTATCTACGTTGTTTCTACTTCCGTCTCGGCTTATCGCAGTTCGTTGCAAGTGCGCGCACCAACGATACGCGATAAAATGCACGATTGCCTTCAAGACCGTAAAAATAGTAATAAATCTCGTCCGGAGTTCGCTATCGTGCTCTCTTTACGACCGATCGCTTTATAGCAGAGACATTGCACGAAAACTGCCAGTAGCAGAGACCGCGCTTATAACGCAAACAGGAAACGCTCTGTCTTCCATAAACGACACGAGGCTTCCAATTCGCAAACTCTGTCGGACGATACTCGAGAAAGGAAGAAACCTACTCGAGAGGAACGACGCTTTTTCAAACAATTTTTGAGATCCATATTTCTCGGGAACCGGTGGAAATCTTCGGGTCAAAATTGGGAGGTGGCACGCGAAATTCCCCCGTCAAACGGAGGTTTCTTTCTTTTTCAAAAAAATTGATCTCCGTCGAATTTCTCGACAGTGGCGGGTATTTTCAGCCGAAAACAGGGGATTTGTGTCGTTTAACGCGCGCATCGTTCGTACGTTGATGCACTTACCGAATGAGTCACTCCTCTCGATTCCGCTTGATTCCCCTCGTTTTCTCCTTAATGGGGGAAAGCGGAGATTCAGGGGACGACGCTGTCCGAAATGGAACGTCTGTTTGCCCAAACCGTACGCTTATGTGTGCTTCCCTATCGAATTTCTATCCGACGCTATACGTTTTTCTCGATCAAGGGTCGGTGCATCGACGATCCCTAATGCTATTAATTATCAACGTCTAAGGACGCCCCGGTTACGCTTGACACTTGAAACAACTTTCGTTTTAAAAATACCTCGAGTGCCGAGAAATCAAGGTTTTCGAGCGTTACGTAGGACGCTCGTACGACTCGTGTCAAATCGGGCGCAAAGTAAGTAGCCTCCCTGATTGAAAATCATAATGCCTGTATGTTTTCTATTTCGAGGCAGGTGTCTATCTAAAAGAGAACATGACGTCACGTTTTTACAGACCATTTGCCTGGTCGTTGGTGACGTTCCTGTCGCGCGCACTCCTCCGATCCGTCGCTGACATCTCCATAAAGCCGCGGGGGTGGATGAAATAATTTCGGCTCGTGTATCCCGACCGATACAAGAACAGACTGCCACGACAGAATGGCTAGATTATGCGCGGCAAGACCCGGATGTGTCAGCCGTGCATGCCTTTGCTCGTTTCGTGCAACTCCTTCTAATCGATTCAAGCTGCCGTCGTTTTTGTTTTCCATCTACCGACCGATCTACCGATTACCGATGATCCCTACGTATCGCGCTTCGAACGTGAGCTCTATACGTCCAACGTATTTTCCAATTTCTGTATCGCGATTTTGTATCCTTTCGGTAGTTTACGCTGCAAGTTAGATCACCAGGCTGACTATTCTTAAACGCTAACGACTATGTAAATCTATCGTACTTGGCCCGGTTACGCGATAACAGCTACCTACAGGCGTCGGAACGGCATCTTTCGCAAATAGGAGGTTTAACAAGATTTCCGAATAACATCTAGACTGCGCAAAATGTGCTGCGAGACAAAACGAAGAAGCTTTATACGTCCGGTAAACGATGTTTTAGCGATAACGGGTCTTTCGAGGGTAGAAACACAGATAGCTTTGCGTCGTTGCGAATAAAGTTAATCGGCCGAGGTAAGCAAATTTCGAGAACGAGAAACGCGCGCACGTGAACGCGAAACGATGAAACGAGAGTCGCGACGACTTTCGCCGACTTGCGTGTTTCCGTTTGCCGATCGACCAACGGCTGAAAGAATGAACAAACAGCGGGTAATTAATGGGGTGATTAACGCAAAAGAACAGCGAGGGAACAAGCAGAGAAAGGAGGGATTTCTCCGTCGGAGAGGTGGAAAAAAAAAATAGGACAAAACAGAAAACTCTGCTTCGTTGCTCGCTATTTATACATATAGCTCGTAGTATAAAAAGACAGTTATTCTCGAGGTAATTCGAGATTTTTGAAAAGATAAAAAGCGGAGTTGCTTTAGACACGAAACCGACCGAGCGAAATTTCTGCCAATTTGGAAACCACTGAACCCGGAAAGCCGATTATACGGACCGGAACAGTGCGACTAGCTCTATCGCCACGCGAATACAGAATAGCGAATAGCGAGCCGAATAGGAGCCACGGTCGTTCCTCCTTCGATCTCTGGATCCTTTCACTTTTTAACCCAGTTTCCATTGTTAGGCCAGCGGCAGGTCGTTGCTGTCACACCCGACTCGACTACCGGACCCAACTAGACCGATCCGATCCACCGTATAATTAACTACCGCAATATTCAACTGTTTCGCCGCTTTCTTCCTCGCTGCTGTCATCCCTTTGCGGAAACGCGTCCGACGATTCGTTTTCTCGCGAAATCTCTCGCTTTCCCTGGCATCTTTTTTACGCAGCGTGGTTACGCGTTGCGCAACTTGAACACGGTTGCGCGATCGCGAACAAACCAGAAAGGAAAATGCTAGGCGATTAAACGCGCGTTAAATGCGTGAAATACCGCGTTGGCCATCTCTGCGTCGTGTTTCCCAGCGTGACACGAGCCGCGAGTCTGCCGCCGCTCGTCGTGCTCTTTAGTCGTTAAACGAGAACGCGTGAGATAAATCGACGAATGACGAATATCGTCAATGATTAATACGAATCCTTGACGCTCCTTCGTTGTTCGTCTGAAACGTTTTCCTCCTCTTTCTTGTCTCCTTCCCTTTGCCGTTCCATCATCGACGCGACTCGTCATCGACTCATACGATTCGTCTTGCGACTCTTTTTCTCGCCTGTGCGATATCTTTTGCCGAGCATCGACGAGAAATATGAAAATTCTGCTAGCCTTTGGATATTTCCATGTCCCAGCCGGTTGGGAAAGAGGCGATGTAAAACTATATGCGTCGCGTTCCACGCGTGACATTTAGAAATAGAGAACGTCGAACCAGTGGAACGTAGAAATGGAAATTTTTGAATCGGAACGAAACCGGAATCGATCGTGGGAACCTTTTCTCGTGCGAAACTCGAACGAAGGACTTGAAACAGAAAATCTACTTTCCTTTCGCGGTTGAAGAAATTTGACTGTGTCGCGGTACTTGGCTGCGCTAGAAATCCGAAGCTGCGAGTTGCCGGAGAGTGGCAATTCTGTTGTTTATTCGCAGCTTTCCCCACTCGTGGCAAGTGTTTTCACCTCTTTAGTCTTTGCTCCGCGTAGTGCCGGCCCAAACATCGCCAAGAGTAGCAACCTCGCGACTTCGTTCTCTTCGATCGGCCCACGATCGCACCGGAAACACGATCCTTCCTCCCGCGAACCATGTCGTTTCTTCCGACCTTCCTTTTCGTTTGTTTCCTCGTGACGATCGCGACGACGTACGCGAAACCGACCATCTACAAAAGAAACCACGACAACGTGTTCGAGCCAGGTAAGACGTGTCTCTGATTAATTAACACGAAATAAATTAACAAGAAATTGAAATCTAAGCGACGATAATCCGCGATAATACCTACGCTACTGTTGCCGCTTAACGTTCGATTAGGAACAAATTTGTAACGCCAGTGCGCGACCAAGCGAATGGTGTCTTTTCCGTTTGCCCTCAGCTGTGTCCATGCTGCGCCGTGAAAAAGTGACTCGCTTTCTTTTCACTTTCTCGTACATCTTCCAGTCAAACGGGACGAAAAATCGTTCGGGATTTTGCCCGTGCAACGAGTTTTACGCGATTCGGACTCGTCTTCGCTGGCTGCGCAACACGTCGAAGAAACCTCGATCGACTCCGCAACGAGACTTCCTTTGTTTCGCGAAACTGATGTCTTTATCGTTTGCCTGGATGAATATCGAAGCGCGAGATGAGCGAGGTAACGAGGCCATCGTGGCGCTTCTTGAAGAATCGAAAGTTTCGATGCTTCTTTCTCCGATCTGCACGGAGATCCTAACTTGGATCTTGGAGGTCTTGGTCGCGCGGGAACGTCTGACCGCGGAAAAGCTTTCACCTTAATTGTTGCCGCTCGTGCCATATCGATACGAAGACGCGCCTTGACCTCTCTCTCCTTACGACCGAATCTTCTTTTCTTCGCTTTTCCATCGCGTCGCGCCTCCGCCACCTCTACTCGCTTCGTTTCATTCTTCCGACAATTTGGAAAGCATCGAGTCGCGTGACGTCCCGTTTCCTGCTTTATGTGTAAGCGCTTACGCGAACCTTGCCAAACAGATATAAACTGTGATCTAACTAGCGATGACTAATTCGTGCAGGTCTTTGGATCGACAATCGATTCTCGAGGCTTGTTTACCTTGTTGATCGTACATGGTAAACGGCGACGACAAACCACAGGTTGACAAATGCATCGTCATTTGGCGTGGCGTTTTATCGACGTCTCGATAGGACCGAGCCGGTATCGATGGAACTTCGGACAACTCGATCAAACTCCGCTACACCGTCGCTATTGCTCGTTATCTGTCTTCTCGTTGCCTAACCGCGAGAGACCGGAGAGTAGCATAAATTACAGTCAACGAGCGCATCGTGGCGAGAACAAAACCGACGATCGGTCGGTATCCGCCGACGTCTGTGTCCGGAACGGTTGTTGGCCAAATAAAGAGCGATTTCTTCGAGCCCGAATTTCCTTCGGGCCACGTTTGACAGGTGGGAATAACGGGCCGATGACGTCAGTCCACGTTCAGCGTAGGCTTCGATTATAGCGAGGCCGCGATATCTCGAGTAGATCGTATCCCCGGTGCAACTGTTGGAGCGGAGAGTAGCGTTGTGTCTCCTGTTTCGTGTTGTCGGCTGGTTTCTAGGATAGCAGGATACTCGCTGGACGAGTACGCGCACCACCGCTGTTGATCCGCGTTTCCTTTCGTTGGAAGAGTCGTGACGATTGAAAGGTGCGCCGGCGTGCCCGTTTCTGCTCGCCAAGTTGCGTACCGATCTTTATCTGTTCGTCGTCGTTTGCAACGTCGAAGCTGCTTCTCGTCGTCCCTTTCAGCCTAAGAGAACTTTGGCTCGGAACGCATGATGCAAAGAAACTGGGCAATTGATCGAAGATCGAAAGACCAGATAGAGTTATAGCGGGAATGGGCGAGCGGAAAAGCTAATACCATTGAATTAGTTAGGCTGTTAGGAAAATTGAGTTATCGGTTCATTAGTAACGTCGAGTTTATTGGGTTATTAGCGTTATCGAGTTATCGGCTTCTTAATAACACCGAACAGTTCGATCGCTATTAATACGAAGGTACGAGCCAACGATTAATATGCAATTAAGATTCTGTTAGGAAACTGAAGAGCTCGCAGCCGCAGCTACTAAGAGTCGTCCGAACACACCTAATTGCGCTCGTTCTGACACCCTGTAGGAGGACGCGTGTCGCGCAAAACGATAGTAGAACCTGTACGACTCGACCTTCGTTGGACTATTAGAGAGAAACAGAGAGGGAGAATGTTAAATATGATAATTAATCGGCGTAAATGTCAACTGCAGTGGATTATTGGCCGTGTAGTCGCGTGATTTGAAACGTTTCAATGCGTTCACCGTTCACGTGATTCGTAGCGAAAATCCACGCTTCTCGAGTATCGCTTCGCAAAGAATCTCTCTCGAGTTACGTAAATGGAATATTCTTTTACTTTCGCTACGAAAATTTATCGTTACTCGAAAGCTACTAATTTTCAAATACGATGCCCGTAAAATTTCTCCTTTCACTTTGCTTTAACGTGGACGAAGCACCTTGATTCGATTTAACGAAATATTCCAAAGAAATAATAAGATAATTCAGTAGCGAATTCGCCAATGAGAATTTAATCAAAATTTCGCGGCGATGGACAACAGCAATCGTAATAGCAAAGATCTGCACGAGTAGCTCGCTATCTCGGCTGCAACTCGTCGAATGGACGTCGACGTCGACGTTGACAGTCGCCTACTTACCGAATCGATATTCGATTAAAACCGATAAGCAAATATTCCTCGTTAAGGATACTGCGAATAAATGTTTAGCGCCTCGCCACGTTACCTACGTTCCTTTTCCTACTTGATGAGAAACGATTCTGCTTACGAGTATTCGTAGAGCGAAATGCGAGAGAAATTGCGATACTCTGAAACGTAATGAACTTATCTTCTGTATCCTTAAGGCGCGTAAACTTTAAAGCGCAACTCTTGAACGAAACCTGGTGATATTTAATGCGAAATTTCACTATCGATTGTTTCAGTGATGATACCAGTCTCGTCTACGGTGATTCCTCTCCCCGTCTACAAAATGGAATATGGTTTGGGATTCATATCGAAAGATAAGAAAGCTCAGTCGTCCTTGAAACCGGAGGGTGGAATAAAATTGATAACGAGTAAGCAAAATTTATGCCAAACTATGTATGTATTTGTATACATGTATATCCGATGAAAGGAACAATAAATATCGTTTCTTACAGTTAAGAAGAGCCAAGAGAAGAAAACGTAAAGGTACAAAATATACGTACTAGTTGCAGATTGACTCTATTCGTATCGTAGTCTGTCATCGATGAAGCGGTATATATTCATTAACATCGTACGGTGATGTATATATATATATACACATCAAAGTTATAGATTGTAAGCAAATCTCAGATTTATTTGAAATGTACGACAGATTTCAAAAGTAACAGAGAGTTTACGCCAAAAACTAATTTACCTCGACGATTAATGTTAGAGTTAATTAACTCTGTCGTTATGAATTTATTAATAATCGTAAGAAAAATCAAACGCTGTAAAACCAAACTGTAGCGAGTATAAAGAGAGAATCTGTTAAGTTTTTATATTTAATTTGAGCTATAGTACGTCGTTTCTGCTATTATAATGTTTATACATAACGTTTATGTATATCTGCCCAACATTTTGAAGAAATATTGAAAGGAATTAATAAGTAGAAAATTATAAACTTTTATTGAACAACATTCGCGTTTAAATTTATTTATCTACCTATCGTTACGATATTTCCATCGGTTCTTCCGCTGTAACAGAAACAATTACACGAATGAAATTTGAGAAACGTAAAGATTCTACTAATTCTTTCATTCTTCTCTACAGAATTTACTTACGCATTTCATTGAACATAAAATCATCTTGATATTCTTTGAGAAACTGTGTAGATCTACTTTCATCGAGGAATAGCTGGTAAACACGCTTCACGTCATCGATATTGACCTGTATTTACATATTATCTTTATGTTGTTGTAACAGTATAAGAAGTACGTATACGACTAACAGCACGTATAATACGATACTTACTTCCGTACTCTTCCTTCGCCTGCTAACGAGAGAAGCAGTAGTGATCAATTGAATCGCGTATCTCAATGAAGTTTCTAATGCGATTCTGGTAAGGACGGTTAGAGCATCATCCGCCATTTCGCAATCTTCTTCTTCGCACCTTATCTTTAGAATTTCTTTCAATTCCTTTTCTTGATACGGACTCGTTGGAACGATAATCATACGATCCAATAGATCTATTGGAATACCATGCGGACTTTTGTAATTCGTTCCTCTAATCCTAGTAATACCTGTAAGATTCAACGATTAATTTTTTATCAATCAAAACAACATATATGCACGAGTATAAGGCACCTCTATTTGTAGCCATAATAACGACCGGTGCCATTTCATTTTCAAGTGCTCGATTAAGAAACGAGAAGCATTCGATGTCGAGCATGTGAACCTCGTCGATGAACAAAACGCCTGGAACGATTTCTGCTTTTCCTTCTTCGCGCCATTCAGCGACTTTCGCATTTATTTGGTCTCGTACTTCTGATTTAATTTCTCCTGTATCGCCAGAGAACAGCGCCAAAAATCCGTGGGTTCTGCTGTTAATAACATCGACTTCGTGTAAAGTTACTGTGTGTACGACCTCTTTGCGTTTTTGTAATTCACCCTCGGGACATTGTACGAAGCGAGTTTGAGAACCAGTTGCATCATAGTCACGAGCTCTAGTAAATGACCTTCCCAGTCTATTTATTTTTCCTGTGGCTTTGTCGATTGTAATCACGTCTCCAGCTTGTACCTTAAGCGAATCATAATTGTAAGGAACCCGATAAACAATGTTACGGAAGAATAAATGTTCATTGCTTGTCTTTACTAACTTTTTCTTTCATCAAACTGTCGATCATTTTGTTTCCTAGATCGTAGATCGTTTCCATCTCCGTTGTTTTCAGTGTTAGTTTACCAACTTTAGCACCTATGCCTGTAGCAGGTCTATCCACTTGTATTTCGACTACTTCACCTTCTATAATTTCTGTTTCCTCTTTGATTCTGACACCGATAGATTTTCTAATAGCTTGAGTAAGAGCTTCTGTTTTACTCATTTCCAAAGAATATATTTCGGAACCTGCCATTGAAGTAAATGGAGTATCCATTCCTAGAGCTTGCGCCATTCCCATGGCAATGGCAGTTTTTCCAGTCCCAGGCTGGCCTGCCAACAGTATAGCTCTGCCTGCTATTTTACCATCCTTAATCATTTCAAGCACAACACCTGCGGCTCTTCGTGCCATAAGCTGACCAACCATGCCTTGCGACACCTAAATAATCATACACAAAGTTAATAAAAGTAGGTATTGAAGTTACAATGCACAAAAGACTAATATATATTACATGGCGAGGTTCTAAACTATCATCCAAGCCTAAACCTCTAATATGAGAATGTGCACCAATTCTCTCTATCCTTGTGATTTCACGAACTTCTTGAACTTTTGCAGCCGCGACAGCCTAAAATAAAGAAAGTAATTATATTAATATAGTGCTAATATATTCTACATACAGTATTGTCATAGAGACAGAGAGATATGATACAAGAGTGGGAATAGAAACAGAAAGCTGTATAAAGACCTTTCCTGTCCTTATTTAATCCATTGTTTACACTGATGCTTGATCAATTTTATGTTTACATATTCATTACATCGATGTACAAGCATTATAAGATCAAAACATAAAGGGTCTCTATGCAACATTCTCTTTCTATTCTTATATCGCTCTTTTTATCTTTCTATCTTTATATCTCTCCAAACATTACAAAAGCATATCGATCAAACAACAGTTGCTATGCCAACTTGTTTTGCTTCAATTCCATTAAAGATGAAATATAGAAATATAAAGCATTATACTATTCAAAATTGATACGATACATCCTACCATAAAAATAATACGATAAATAAAAACGTTCTTTATATTTTCAAACGCTTAGAAAAATAAATGTATTCCAAATAGGTTAATTGACTAAACAAGACAAAAACATGGTAATATGAATATGTTTGTCGAATATAACGTAAAAAGTACAAAAATTAGCTAATTATAATATTAATTCATAATGAATATTTACCGCCATGTTTGCAGATTTTCCACGTGTTTATTCCTTAACAATAAAACAGAACCTTTTTAAACAGTCCTGCATGCGAGGATTGCCAATAGCGGCGCTACCACAAAAATCCCAAAAGCGTGCGTATGCGCATTCGTCACCAGTGACGTAGCCCGAAAGAATGCGTTAATTGGTGCAATCTGTGACGGCAATGGTTATATAAATAGGTCTAGATATCCGCTAGGGGTAATGATCCGTCTTTTGAGTCGAAAAGAACTAAGATGGAGAACAAAAAAGGTCTTGTTCTACGGGGTACACAGAGATGAATAGCATGTTCTGCTCTGTCTCAACATTCATAGTATACATGTATATGTATAACGCATGCGCGGAACAAGAACTTCCATTGCTTTCCATCTTGATCTTTTTCGACTCAATGGACGGGATAGTTTCCTTAATGCATTCACGCGTAAAAATGTCTCATGGACATAGGAAGAAATGTCTTATAGGAATATATATTACGTCAATAACAACAATACTATTGTTCAGTTCAAATCCGTTTACATGACTGTGGCTCCAAAAAATAATGCTATTTATAATTTCATAACTATGTAAACGTACTAGGAAGGAAACTTGTAGTTACATAGGATATAGTGGTTAAAACCGCCATCTGTAGAATACGTATTGAACTAATAAATTCGATGTAAAAATGACGGTTGTTATGGAAACTAAAAGGTAAAAATTTAATTTAAACGAAGCAAAGAAACGTAAATCGATAAATCTTTGTTGCTTATTATTTTTAGTCGTTTCGAATAAATCTAGTTGAAATTGAGAGAATTACTTTTAAACATTGAATTGTACTAATTATTTAATATAATCTTCGTGGTACATGAAATTTTAATTGCGTTTTATGTTCTATTTCTCGATATGAAAAAAATAAATTAAAACTTTGATAAATAATTACAAATTAAGAACAATATATGTCACGATTCCTTTCTAGTGTGAATAATCGTTCTCTGATTTATACGTATGTTCATAATGTGTTTTATTTACATGTGAAAGGAATGTCAAAGAGAGAAAAATCTGTAACATAAATTATAAATGTAATCCAAGAGTATTGAGTAATCCAAGAGTACAAATCTTGTCTGGTGATTCAGATAAATTTCCTTGTAAATGTAAGAATTTGTCAATTTGTATATATGTATATGTTGTAACCAAAAATAATATAATATCAACAGTTGCATAGGGATGTATGTATGCACTTTGCGAGTATGCACTTGAATGGGGCATATTTAGGTACATATATATCGGCAAAAGGAATTGACGAGGTTGATCATAAGCCAAGGACGGTTTCTTCGAGATATCTCGTGCCATCTGTTGTTACGAAAGAAACACGAGGCAATGTGGTTATCAGTGAATCGAGCAAGGTTCGTCGTGTTTAAAGTAGACCGAGATACTGGGGCTGACTCGAGCCCCGTTAAGTCCTTGTGACCTTTCGTAGTTTGTGGTGACCTTCACGGGAGGTTGCCCGTAGAACTATTCGTCCGTCCACAATCTACTTGTTCTTCATCTATTTCCTTTCCTGTTGTGGTACATCGTTTCGAGCGGAAGTAAGTGAGTTGTTCGAATTTAAACATTACTTTTTATATCTTGTTTTCGTTTACTATTCTTAAGGAACAATAAACTCCACATGGTTTAATGGAACCGGCAAACCCTTACAGTAGTAGCAATCTGGCAATACTTACGTTAGTGCTGTCATTGACCTTCGATAGATTCTTTCAAGGGGCAACGTGTTTCTTTCGAGTATAATATAACTACAACGTTGGCCAGTTAAATACGTAGGAAAATACTTAACGCTCGTAAAATTCCACTTGCTCGCGTAGATCTTGATTTTCGGGAAGCTATTTCAATAATTCGATTCATTTAAGAATGGAATGAAGTATTCGTTTTTTACATTAATATTGAGTTATCTTTATTGCTATATCCTTAGTTTTTTAGTCGATTTTGTATCTTATTTTTTTTAATACGTTTTCAGAAATAAAATATAAAATATTACTTGTATAATTGTTATTAAATTAAAAATGTCAGAAAAATTGTAAAATACATTTAAAAAATTCCACAAAAAGCAGGTGAAAAAAAGACCATTGAAATAATTTTACTATTAAAGTCTAATATATTGTTATTAAATGATTCAAATTCTTTTGTACATCATAATTCCTCTAAAGATAATATTCTATCATCCTAAATTAAAGGTTTAAATTTGTACAAATTTAAGGGTGCAAAAGAGCCAACAAAATGTCAAGAGAACGCGTATCTAGAAGATTTTACCGCATGGACAGCAGTAATGATTTATTAGAATTTATGGATCGTGGATATTCAGCACAGCATGAAAATCGATGGAATTTTGAAGTTGCATGGGAGGCTGCCAATAAGGGTATGCATAATATACTAAAGCAAAACGTTAATTTATTAATTTATATTGATTACTCTTCACTATTGCATTTTTAGTTGGTGGTATATACACTGTAATACGTTCCAAAGCTTTTGTATCAACAGAAGAAATGGGAGATCAATATTGTCTTATTGGCCCATACAAAGAAACCTCAGCACGTACTGAAGTAGAGGAAGCTGATTTTCCACATAATAATCCACTGCATTTAGCTGTACAAGCTTTACGTGATCAAGGATTTAAAGTAAGTTTAAATAACATTTACTATAAAGTACTCTGAGTACTGTATTTAATTAAAACTTCAATTGTGTAAAGATAAAGTGATAGAAGAGAATATGTAACGGAGCATGAACAGATTAATCAGACAAAAGTTTGTTGTTTTGACACAAATATACACTTGCAGTTACTGTAATATTTCATTATATACTAAAAATAGCAATTTGGCTAAAGTCCAGGTACAAAGCCAAAATTAATTCAAGGTCAGTTGCCCCTGCAAGTAAATGATGTGGTTACTCCCTGTTTTTCCTTATTTTCAATAAAACCTATGAAAATTAAAAGCAAATGAGATTTATTTTGCCATAAAGTAAAGAGTTCTTATTGAGGTGATAACAGGGACCTGGCTAGTGGATGGAAACCCACAGATCATTCTGTTCGATATTGGAAGTGCAGCATGGAAGTTGGATGAATATAAGCAGGAATTATGGAATACTTGTAATCTTGGTATTCCTCATTTGGATATAGAAGCTAATGATGCAGTTATTCTTGGTTATCTTGTGTGTCAATTTATTTCTGAATTCAGGTGAATTTTACATAACACAAAAATCAATTTTGTCTGATTTATTACTCCCTTAAAAATAAATTTTTATATCTTAGACAAGCTGCCGAAGGGTATTGCGATGTTCCTCCTCGAATCGTGGTTCATTGTCACGAATGGCAAGCCGGTGTTGGTATAATCGCGTTAAGAACCAGACACGTAGACGTTGCTACAGTTTTTACTACACATGCCACTCTTCTAGGAAGATACTTATGCGCGGGAAAGATTGATTTCTATAATAATTTAGATAAGGTATCGTGGCTGCCTACTTGAATTTAATCTCTTTTGTCAATATTATTTGAACGTATTAATTTCTTTAATTTATCTGTAGTTCAACGTGGACGAAGAAGCAGGAAAGCGTCAAATTTATCATAGATACTGTATGGAACGTGCGGCTACGCATTTAGCGCATATATTCACAACTGTTTCGGACATAACAGGTTTCGAAGCGGAGCATTTACTGAGACGAAAACCTGATATAATCACACCAAATGGGCTCAACGTGAAGAAATTTGCAGCAATTCATGAATTTCAAAATTTACATGCCGTTAGTAAAGAAAAAATACACGAATTTGTAAGGGGTCACTTTTACGGGTATGTAAATTCTAATACAAGATTCACGTAACATTCGTTTTCTGTGTCATAAAATATCTGCATTAAATCACCATTTCAGGCACTATGATTTCGATCTGGATAAAACCTTATACTTTTTTATTGCTGGACGTTACGAGTTTGGAAACAAGGGCGCCGATATATTTATCGAGGCTTTAGCTAGATTGAATCATTACTTAAAAACATCTAGACCTGATATGACCGTCGTGGCTTTCCTTATTTTTCCAGCGCGAACTAATAATTTTAATGTAGAGTCGTTACGTGGTCATGCTGTAAGTGAAATAATCTTAAATCAACGAAGAACTATATCGATTGTCAATACGAGAATTTGCTTTTTCGTTGAAGGTTACCAAATCTTTAAGAGATGCAATTAACGACATACAACAGAAAATTGGAAAGCGAATGTACGAATTGTGTCTTTCTGGTCGTATGCCTGACACGCAAGATCTTTTACAGAAAGAAGATACCATCAAAATTAAACGGTAATATTTGATTGAACTTACAATGATTTTAATTAGAGTTAAAAAAAAAAACATGTTAAAATTATTTCTATCGTTTCAGGTGTTTATATGCCCTACAAAGAAATGGATTGCCTCCGGTTACCACGCACAATGTCGTAGACGACTGGAACGATCCCGTATTAAACGCCATCAGAAGATGCAATCTTTTCAATACAGTCAATGATCGAGTGAAGGTAATCGATTATGATTCGCGGTAATTATGCGGCAATGTGATTAAAACGTTATTATCCCCACTATAATTATACGTAACTGGTATTAATTTCATATCCTAGATAGTATTTCATCCAGAATTCTTATCATCGACGAATCCATTATTTGGGCTTGATTACGAAGAATTTGTCAGAGGATGTCACTTGGGTGTCTTTCCGTCGTATTATGAACCTTGGGGGTACACGCCTGCAGAATGTACAGTTATGGGTATTCCCAGTATAACCACAAATCTATCTGGTTTCGGATGTTTCATGCAAGAACACATAGCTGATCCAATGAGTTATGGTATTTATATCGTGGACAGACGATTCATTGGCCTGGAGAACACTGTTCAACAGCTTGCTCATTATATGTTTGATTTTGCACGACTGAGTCGTCGACAACGTATTATTCAAAGAAATCGCACCGAGCGTCTTAGTGATCTCCTTGACTGGAGAAACCTTGGCATCGTAAATATTTATTACTTAAATTTTCATTTACTATTTTCACGTTTCTAGCTTTCTAAGTAAATCGACTAAATACACGATTGTTTTAATAGTACTACCGCCAGGCCAGAATCAAAGCTTTGACAATCGTTTATCCAGAACTCGCTTCTGAATATGCTGAAAGTGGAGTAGGACGTTTCAGTTATCCTAGACCTATTAGCGAACCACCGTCGCCTTCCTCTTCGAGACACACTACTCCTGCTGCGTCGGTTCACGGATCCGACGAAGAAGACGAAGTAGACGAAGAGAAGGAGGTTTGTAATGTTCTATCAATCTCCTACTTCGAATTTTTAAATTTAAAACCTCTGATTGAAACTATTACGCTTTATTACAGCTAGAGGAATTACGCCAAACAACTGGCACATAAATGGTAAAAAGATATGGAAAAATTAGTGGCGAATAATTGTGTATATTAGATGAATACGTGGAGACTTTACGATAGTAGTACTAATAATTTGTTTAATATAGTCTCCCATGAAGAGAATTATTAAATTATATAAGACGGTTCATCATACTTTTTACTTTTACAATTACTCATCATATACTCTTACTCCTTTCACACCGTATAAGAAATATGATCATGACAACATAACAGTATATTACAACAGTATTTACATTACACGACATGCAAAATCATCAGAAACAAGTCTTCCACGAATCTTATTCGCACGTAATGTTCCACTGATCTATCGATGAGATTGTTATCTTTTAAAAATTATATTTAATGTTAAGTATATCCGTATATTTAGCGAGTGTGTTCCTATTGTATAGAGACGGTTATATATTTTTATGAAAATTAGAACAAGAATAAAAGTTCTTTAACATTTTTAGTCATCGAGTCGCCAGGATGAGCAATATTTTCCATCATCCTGCGATGTTCGTTCTTGTTAATACAATGTTTTCTGAAAATAAAGCTTTGAACGTATATTTTAATCGGTTTTCTATTTTTTGGCAAGAGTGCTAAAATTTCTTCAGTTTGTAAGAATTATTATATTATTAATTATCAACATAATATACAAAACAAAGTGCTAAAAAGTTACATTCTTTCACGACGAAATTATTACATTTGGCATTCGCGATTACCAAACTGTCTTGTTTCCTGCAAAAACTTTGAAATAAATATGTACACATTAAAGAAACGAGTAGTAACATATTACATAACAATACGTCTTAATATAACAAATACAACAATATACAAAGCCGTTAATCATCTTTGCGATCAATTAAAAGTATTTAAATGTCTTTGATGATTATTACACTGAGAGAGTGAAATTTTGGAATGGTTCATTACCACATAAAGCTGGGTAAATATACGAGGAGATGTATGAGACGAGATTCGACACATTTTCCACCTTTCACGTCCGCTTCCATGATTTTATACGCTAACGTTCATGTATTACAAAAATGCTGACATTGAATATAAAATATTCCTAGTTTCTATAATACATAATGATATATTTAGACGAAATCAACACCTTCACCGCCGAAATCAGTGATTTACATCGATTTTCTAAAACGATAAGATCTACCACGATAGGCAGTTGTGATACACGATAGTAGAGATATTTCAGATTCTAACCGCTATAAGCGACAAAAGGTACTTTTGATTTTCAGCGAATCGACTTCTGTCCGCAAATGATACGCGGGTTAATTCCAACGTTACCTGTGTCGAGACATGTTCGCTGGAAAATATGGAACCAACGAATAGCGAAGGTATTGATCCGTATCATTCAAGAATAATAGTCACCACCGTAAAAAGTCGCTTTTTTCACTAGCAAAAATTACACGATTAAACAATGAAAAATAATATTTTCCCAATCGAGTCATCGATGAAAAGAAAAAGAGGCGATATTATATAAAGTAAAGCAATACTGAATTGCAATTTGTTGTAAGGATCGTCTTTCTTAACCCAGTATCTGATAAGTTATGTAATCGAATGAAAACAACTTTAGGCCTATGTCCCCGTGAATGATACTAAAGATATGTTACACGTTTATCAACAAAGAGATTAATGATACACGCCTAAAGAAGCAATAAAACGTTCTCGTAGAGAGTACAAGCGAGTGATACTGGTTAACCTAAATGGCACGTTTTATACATTACATACAATATGGAAACTTTACACAGAGGACAAATGTAATTACAATTTATTAAACGGAGAAACGAATCGCGCGTATTTTGTAATAAACGTTAAAATCGTTAATAATACGTGTTCGTAATACTTTGATTCCTCGATGCAATTCCTTCCTTTGAAACTTGTAAAGCCCGTTTAGCCCTCGAATTCCAGTATAACCTTTCAACGAAAGTTTACGGTACTTTGTGGAACTTTTGCTTTGTTTGTCTCTCGACGTTATTCGCGTGTAAAAATATTTATAATTTCTATGACAAAATATGCAGTTACTAACGTAGCACAGTTTCCGTGTATCCATCGTAGGCTCGGTTCAAATCAATTCGTCGACGAAAAATGAAACTTCTCGCTGTTACTGTTTTCGTTTATCTCGACAATTACTTGTTTATCTTTTCTTTGCGAAGTAAAATTAGTAGGCGATATTTCCGTTCTATTCGGCGATTATATTCGTTTTAAAGATATAAAATCACATATCCGTCTCCTATCCCTGACAGACACACGGGTAAGTCTACAAAGCCGATACACATTCTTCTTTCATCTAAATGCGTTAATTAGAAACTAGTTACTCTTTTTTTTTTTTTCTTTTACTCGAACTGGCAAGTTTACATCGCTCACTGCATACGTTCATTACAGTTTTTCGAAGCTTTTGCAAATATCGGGGGAAGGAAGGGAGACTGCTTTTTAGACCATAGGTACAAACAACCTTTGGTTACGTAACAAGAGGACTAATATTATAATATATCGCGCAATGATCGATAAATATATATATATAATATATATATATATATATATATATATTTGTTTGAAAACTAATCTAAGAGTCTTTAGTTAATTGGCATTTATCGGCGTATGGCCTCAAGATACGAGTAATTTTTCATTTCCCGCTTTCCCTTCCAAATTGGACAGGAAAGATCTCCAAACGCAACATTTCTAGAAACTTGAAAATTGTCGCGTCACATTTCTAGTTGTTTCTAAATTAGCCCGTTCAAACTTTCGCGAATCTTGTATATTTGGTCGCACGAAATCCTTGATAAATATTCTATTAACTTTGGCTAGAAACACCATTCAGTGCACGACACGACTTACGATCAAGGACAAAATTCATTCAAACTCGTTCAATCGAAAACATAAAGATCCTTTACTTTCAAAAAAAAAAAAAGAAGAAAAAAAAAACAGAAGCCGATATTGACTTTCAAACGACCAATTCTTTTCGTTGAATCGCCAACCTTCTAACAGCAACGTTTACAATGAAACAACCGTACCGCGTATTAAAAAAAAAAAAAACAGTTCATGCTTAAACTTTTGATCCTGCGCACTCGTAAAAACCACTCTCAGAAACAACGAGAGATCGAGGATAAGAATTCAGAACCTGGATCTTAAATACTATCTATCGTGTCTCGATACGCTTTTAGGAAGAGTTTACAGAGATTGAGAGGCGTAGCTTTATGTGCTCGTGTATACGGTACCTGAGGACCGTGTGGCGTAGTAGCTGGTGTCCTGATCGTTCGTTTTCTTCTTAGAGAACTAGCGAATGGACGGATTTTACGTATGGCTTGATTGCGTCCCTCCCATTCTCTGTTGCATCATGTTTAGTAGCAACTCGGAGTATTGCTGCATCATGTTAACCACTTTTCCTTGGTCTTGGCCAGCAAGCAGTTCTTGGAATTTGGCGGTGGCTTCGTTCATTGTAACGTTTTCGGGATTGGCGGAACCTTCGTGGCCCTCGCCACCTGAAACCACCAGTCGCAATGTGCGCATCGTCTCGTTTACGGACGATTCGAGGCCGCGCAACATCGTGTCCCTGTCAATGCTCGCACGAGACGGATCATCCTCGTTATCTATCGTTAAACGTTTGTACAGTTGCACGACATTGTCTGCTGTTCGTGTTAATTCGTCTGCGATTGTATTGCACAGTTGCGTCGACACTGCAAAAAGCGACAGTTTCTTTAGTACGCTGCTCGCAAAGGTTTACCGTTAAGAATACGTGCTTAAAAATGCAAACGTTTCGGTACGCGTGAAGAAAAAGAGGTTCGATTCGACCGAACGTTTACATTTTTAACGATGCACGTCAGACACAAGCGGATGTTACATGATTTATATTTTCAATGTACAGCATGTAGTACCCGCTTCGCAACATGAAAAAAGGTTGAATGAAATCGTGCAGCGTGCAGGTTACATCAGTTCTAAAATCCGTAATGAGACCATGCTATTGTGATCGAGACCTAGAGACTCGGGTAGAATTCTAACGATGAGAGCTAAATTTTCCAGGTCTATGCAATGAGCTAAATAACGATATCTTCGTGGCTGGCTTCCTCGAGTGATTTTCTTATGATCGACATGACGCGAAATGTCCCGAACTTCCTCCGTGAATATTTATGTACAACATTTATGTGCAGTATTTACATACTTATAGAACTTATAGACGAGTTAAATTGGATAGAGTTAAATTGGAAAAGCGATCGAATCACCGAAGGCGAAGGGAATTTTCTCCACGATTAATTAAACACATACAAAGCAGAAGGAACGTGGAAAATAATGCGATATCTTGGACTCGAAGATGCAATGACAGTTTGACGCGTTTTATAGTCTCAACTAAAAGCTGCATTATTTTCGTTTCACGACGAAAACGATGCTACGCGTTCTCTCTGAAAACTCTGAACGTCACATGTATAGCACATATATTATATACAGCGACCTACAGACTATTATGTCCTAGTCTGTACTAAGATTCGCGTGAAACGATTCTGTTTGAATGGTTTTCGCCTTGTCATAGCATGATCACTTACAAATTTTTAACAGACTGAAAGATTTATTATTTTCACAGGACAGCATTCTCAATAGGTGTCTTTAGTTTACCTAATGTTTTGTCCGTGCCTACTGCAAGAGTAAAATCCTTGTTAGATTATATTTTCTCAGACGAAAATTAAATAATAAAAACTTAATATCCCAATCGATAGAACGTTCGAGTACGTTTATCTATAATCGTATATCGTATTACGGCTTCTTGCAATCTTGCATGCTTACACTTTGAAAAACGACAAGATGATCGTGAGTCGTGAGAAATACGCGTGCGTGTAAAGGACACGCACACAGACCAAATAAAGGAAAATGAAGATAATCGCGGCTCTTACATTCGGCACTGGCTACATCGATGGCACGATCGGTATCTTTAACTGGAAGTTCCTGTGGGCTGGGATCTAATTGATTGCGATTTGTTGTCGACATCCGACTTGCATTCTGTCCCATCGTGTTATTTCCGTTACGACCGTTAGTTATAATCGTCGTCGATCCCGATCTTCTTACCGTTGTACCGGGTAGACTTAAGCTGTAAAAGGAAGCGAGATACATCGATGATGGAATTCCGATTAACGCGTAAAACAACGCGA